GGGGTGAAAAGGGTATCTCTGCCTCCTCCTGCCTCCGGTAGGAGAGAAGAGGAGGGAGGAGGTGGGTAGGGCAGCCAGGAGCCCCAAGGCACGGAGTAACAATCCTCCAACTTTAATATCTGCTGTTTCATTTTATATTCATCATGTCAGCATAATCTGCTTTTATGGGAATCGTCTTGGTTCCCAACCAAATGCATTTAGGCCCTTTTGCTTTTAAGTTTGATTGTAATGCGAGTTGAAGACTTCAGTGAAATGTTTAGATGGGAGGGTTGTAGCAACGGCGCAGGGAAAAATGGAATTAGAGACTCAGTTGGATCTTGCTGTGCTTCGCTGCTGTCCCCTGCCTTCTCCTGGGCAGGTGACTTTCTGACAGGCACCAGCCCAGGTCAGGGGCTGAGCCCCGGGAAAGGTTTTGTTTGATTTTCAAGGAAAACATGGAAATTGTAGTTTTATGGGACCCTGAGCCTGAAGAAGGGCAGGAAAGGTTCTGTTTGCCCTTTTCTTAAGTTGAGCCCGTGATGGTGGAGCCTGGTGGAGCTGATGGTGGAGCCTGGTGGGGCTGTGGGGGAGCTGCCCTTGGTGGGCTCAGCTGAGCTGTGTGATGGTTGACGAGGGGCAGGTGGGAGAGCTGAGGGCAGGCAGCCAGGAGAGGAGACATCTTTGCAGGGAGAACAGGCTCCCCAGGTCCTCTGGGGTGGAGAAAGGTGGTGGCCTGGGGGCTTTGGAGGGGGAGAAAGGGATCTGGCTGGCTGCTGCAGGGAAGGAGGACCCTTGTCATCCCTTCACTGCTGGGAGCAGGTAGGAAGATGGTGTGGCAGATGTTTTGTGGTCTGACTCCTCTCCTCGGTGTTTTATCCATGAAGCTGTGTTTGAACCCTGGCAGAGAACTCCCTGTCTGCGAGATAAATAGCTATAGACTCCAAGTGCTTTTCCATTGCTGCCCGTTTAAAACCTGAGCTGTATCTCATTCTATTTTGGTGCAGGAATGCCCTTAATTTGTTCCAAAAAGCATTTGAAAGCTCTGATAACAGGCAATCTCGCTGCAGACTATTGCATCCTTTCTGATGGACGGGCTATCGCCGCTGTAACTACCGTGTAGATAGCGGAGTGACAATGTGTGTCCGGTGAAACACAGGCAGTGTAATATTCATGTCAAGTATGGGAGGCCAAGAAACTTCCCTGCTTTTGGATATTGAAGGGTTCAGCAGCTGACGGGGCTTGAAAAGGCTTTTCTTCTTTTGTGAGCAGAGGATCTGATTGAAGGCTGGTGATGTCCTGGCAAAGCAGGGAGCAGTAATGGCCAGGTTTCCTGCAACAGGGGCTGCAGGGGTGAAAAGCAGACAGGTATTTATAAATGTATGGTAAATGGTACCCAGGCTTGGCAAGTCAATTGCCTCGCTGCTGGGTTTGCTTAAAATTGTGAAATGAATGTTAAATTGAAGTTTCTACTTTTGGAAGAGAGACCTTTTGAAAATGAAACAGGCTTATCTTCAGTCTAGGCTAAAATCCAAAAAATTGCCTATATCTCAGAACTCTCCAGAAATGGTCTCCGTGATCCTTTTAAACATCCCATGCAAAAATGCGTGTGCAAGGGAAAAAATTTGGAGAAAGATTGACCCTGGAGGTTTTGTTTTGGGGTGGTTGTTTTTTTTTAAAATTCCTTTTGCTTCCCTGATGGGATGTAGCCTTTGGGAATTGTAGCAGTGGGCTCCTGGTGGCACCCACACCAGGTCTGCTCTGGGTGATATCATCTCTTTTCCTGAGGTATTTTGGGAGGGTGCAAGTGATGGTGGAAGAGGGGGAGGGGGCATCCAAGGGGATGGTGCAAATGATGGTGCAAGGGGAGAGTGTAAATGATGGTGAAAAGGTCTGCTGCAGCGGGGTGTGTGATGAGTGTGTGATAGTGTAAATCAGCCTCTCCTGTGGGTGACTGTCCCTCAAAATGGAATTAAAATGCCTTTGCATAAGCAGACCTGTTTCTTGAGACTTCTGTGCTGTCCCATGGCCTGTCTTTGTAGAAGACCTTGGGATATCTATCCTGAAGCTGAGTTACTGCTTTTAGCCCTAAAAGTAGCATTTGTTGCAATTTTAATTAGAGAAGGAGTCGCCGTTCAGCACAGACCTTTGAAGTAGTGCCAGGCAGACGGCTGCAATTCAACAGCCCTGATGTTCCTCTCGTTTTGTTCTTACTTTTGCCGCTGTAAGAAAACTCCTGCTTTAGCCTCTTTGGAGGCGAGGGACACAAAACTCTCATTTTGTTGATTCCCAGCTCTTGCCCAGGCTGGTTCACGGGGCAGAGGGTGGAAGGAACACTTCTTGGTGCCGATTTGCTCCAACAAAGGGCCATTTATATCAAAGGAGGGAAGGGATTATTAGGACCCATCTCATCACAGTGACAGAGATGTTCATGTGTCCCCTCCAAAGTGCAAGCGAGGGCTCTTGATGGGTCCCATGGATGATCAGGAACTGTTTGGTTTTTCTCCTTTGAGTGCTCAGATGTGCCTAAAAATTGGGGGTAGAGGGAGGCAGAGATAACGAGCACTGCCCTTTGATTAGATGCAGGTGATGGTGCAGCTGGCTCAGGTGTGGCAGTGGTGTAATTAGTGAGGCGCTGCAATCAGGGAGCTGGTGGTAAGGTGGTAACCTTGTCCCTACCCTCAGCCAGGGGAGGTCCTGCAGGAGCAGGGCAGGATGGGGACTTCTTGGGGAGCAGAGAGGGGTTGGCTCCCTTTTGATGCATGGTGGAAAGTCAGGAGCCTGCTGCTGGAGAATTTATGGATTTCAGGGGTAAGAAAAACTGGTCCTCAATAATAAAGAGGGTTTTTTGTTTTTTATTTTCTGGGTTGGGAGGTGGGTCTGTAGAAGTGGAAGTGCCTGCTCTTGTAGCCTGCATGCCTGTGGGCCAGCACCCAAGTGTCTTGAGGCATCTCATCCTGAAAGGTGTGGGTGATTCCTCACGGCAGCCTCAGCCGGGCTTGTTCCTTCCTTCTTCTCCACCAGGAGCTGGAACTGGAATGTGCTTTTGCCCAGCTGGGTTCAGGAAAATCATAGAAAGCAATGAAATGCAAAATGCCACCACCATTCCCTGGCTGCTTTTCCTGCCAGGGAACAAGCCCTGGCCTCCTCGCTGACCCTCTCACGAGTGATGCTCTGTGGCCAAGGTGTGGAGGAGGACCTTGTCACCGTTCCCACCACGGTGCCAGGGGAGCCTGAACTCCTACTGTCAGCCTTCCTGGAGCAGACAGATTGCAGGACACGCTCTGTCATAGCCGGTTGCTCTTCCCAAACAGGAGGGAATTGAGTTTGGGTCCCCCACAAAGCGGGTGATTGCCGAAGCTGTGGGCCTGGTGACTGAGAGGACGTGACTTCCTTTCCAATGCTTATATCGCAAATGGGAAAAAACAAACTCACAAAAAAAAAAGAGGTGGTGGAAGGAGAAATATTTTGGCTCATTTTGCGCTAGTATTTTCTTTTTTTTTCGGTTTTGATTCGGTTGCTAAACTGCCAAATCAGTTCTGTGCAGAGCCTGCGTTCGAGGCTTGATGGGCAGCTGTGGAGCTGTCGGAGCTGCTGCCGGCGTCTTCTGCTGCTGCTGGGCCAAGGAAGGAGCCACAGCTGAGCCCCAGAGCTGCTGGCTCTGGCTCTGCAGACCTGGGAATGGCTTTTTGATTACATAGAGCATGGCTTTTCCCAACCCCTAATTAGCCAGGTGTGATGCCAGCACTCCGGGGAAGCTGCCGCCGTGGATGTGTGTGCTGGGATGCTGTTATCCCAGCTCCCAGGGGGCTTAGTGCTGTAAATTGGGATCGGGTGGGATGGAAAACTAACAGAAGGCTGTAGAAGAAGACCAACAGATCTGCAACCCTGAGGTCAATAGATATTTGTCAAGCATAGTGGTTATCTCTTCTTATACCTTATAGCAGCCTTCCAGTCCCTAAAGGGGCCTATAGAATCATCTAGGTTGGAAGGGACCATAAAGATAATCTAGTCCAACCATCAACCTAACTCTGACAAAAAAATAAATAAGAAATAAGCAATAAAAGAAAAAATAAATCACTAAACCATATTCTTGAGGACCATGTCAACCTGTCTTTTGAACACCTCCAGGGATGGTGCCTCAACCACTTCCCTGGGCAGCCTGTTCCAATGCTGGATAGCCCTTTCCGTGAAGAAATTTTTCCTAAATTCCTTTTCTATGGAAGAGATGGGGTTGGACTCTTGATGAGGGAGGGGGATGATAGGATGAGGGGTAATGGTTTTAAACTGAAAGAGGGGAGATTGAGATGAGATCTCGGGAAGAAATTCTTTGCTGTGAGGGTGGTGAGAGCCTGGCCCAGGTTGCCCAGAGAAGCTGTCGCTGCCCCATCCCTGGAGGGGTTCAAGGCCAGGCTGGACGGCACTTGGAGCAACCTGGTGTGGTGGGAGGTGTCCCTGCCCAGGGCAGGGGGGTTGGAACGAGATGGTCTTTAAGGTCCCTTCCATCCCAAACCATTCTGTGATTCTTTCTGGTGCTTGTTAGTGCCACCTTGGTGCCTGGAAGGAGGTTTCCATTGTAAATGCTGGCAGAGTATGTGCTGATGTCTGCATTTTGGCTTGGTCGGCACCAAGTGTCCTCCTTCCACCCCGCGCCGAGCCCCAACCCTCCCCAGGCTTGGCTGCAGCCCTCTAGAAGCTTCTTCCAGCCTTTTTGCAAGAAAAACTGTAGGAGGTTAAAGGCACCTTGTGCAATGTGTTATTTACTGTTGTTGCCTTTCTAGTCCAGAACTCCCAAGGCACTTCGTAGCCCTTTGCTTTTTATTAAGGAAGACAACTGTAACTGTTCCTGTGGGGGGGAAATAGTAGGTAGAGGCCAAAAAACAATGTTCGAGCTCGTCCTGCAGAACTGAAGCAGTACTAGGGGCAGGACTCAAAAGTCTTGATTTCCAGGCCTGCTAGGAACACCACCTTTTTAGCATCGTGGAGAAAACTGCTCCTCAGTTGGGTGTTTTGTCCCTGCAGAGATGTCGGGGACGGTGGCTGACATTTCGCTGGTGCACTGGAAGCAGCAGTGGCTGGAGAACGGCACCCTCTACTTCCACGTCTCCATGAGCAGCGCCGAGCAGCTCTCCAGGACCACCCCCCCGAGCCTCCAGGAACCTTCGGAGATCGTGGAGGAGCAGATGCATATTCTTCATATCTCGGTCATGGTGAGTCAAAGCTGCTGAGGGCATCAGAGGGGATGAAGGATGGTCTGGGAGGGGATGGTGGCTGGTAGCCAGGTCGTGATGGGAGGGTGGTGAGTCTGGTTTGCAAATGTCCGTGTCCCTTCTCAATTGGGACCTCCGGAGAGGGAGAGATGTGTTTGAATGGGCCAGGAAAATAAAGAGTAGTTGGGCTTTGAAGAAGATGAAACAAAATAAAACATTGTAGGGAAGAAGCTGTTGGGAGGGTAACAAGGAGGGTTGTGGTTCCTCCTACCTCTGCTGGCAACTGGTGAGGTGCGTTGGTGGAGTATTTCTGCTTGGTCTTGTGTTTGGGCACATGCAAAGGCAAGATTTTGGGCTTGGCCGTTTCTTCCTGAAGGTTTCTGAAACTCAATTTTACCTGTCAAGTGGGTAATGGCTGTAGCACGACATCCTTCTCTTGCAAAAATGAAAAAAAAACTATTCCAAATGCTTTGAATATCTCTGTCTCAGGTGTTTACGTGACCTTTTATTAACAACTCATGTATGTACTCTGTTGCCTTTTAAAATGCTTATTTTGGGATCTTACGAGGTGGTTGCCTACGTATTTGGATCTGGTCCATCATCCCTCTGTGCTTTAGAGTTCCATCTCTAAAATGGGACTAAATGTATTGCCCCTTAACTCTCATCGGGATAAACTATCCCGTCAAGAAAGGAAAAAAGAAGTTAGGCTTTTAGGTCCAGTGTATGGGGATGTCACCTATTTGCCCGAAGAAATTCTTTTATGGAATTAGGGATCCCATTGCAAGAACCCTCTGCAATAGGTTCATCTGTTCGTATCTCGGAAGCCATGTGTCATCTCCACACCTTCTGTTCCCCGTTTTGACAGGAGGAGCAGAGGCGATGGCTGCACAAAGCCTTTATTTTTTCCATTTGAACAAGCAGCTATTTGGCTTTAACAACTTAAATCTGGGGTTTTTTGAGTGTGTCAGCCCTTTGTCGGTGGGGCTTTAGGTTGGGCACTGATTGCGTGTGAGCACGGACAGAAGCTTTGCGTTCAGGCTGTCGGGCAAGATAAGATGCAGAATGATAGCAGGGAGAGGAATCGGGGGCTGCAGCTCAATGGGCTGGATAGGGAATGGTTTGATGTCCCACTAAAAATGTCAGTCTGATGGAGTTCCTTTGACAGGACAAGAGGGAATAGGCACAAACTGGAACAGAAGAAGTTCCACCTAAACATGAGGAGGAACTTCTTCACTTTGAGGGTGGCAGAGCCCTGGAAGAGGCTGCCCAGGGAGGTGGTGGAGTCTCCTTCTCTGGAGACATTCAAACCCCACCTGGACACGTTCCTGTGGGACCTGCTCTGGCAGGGGGTTGGACTGGATGATCTCCAGAGGTCCTTTCCAACCCAATGTGATTCTATGAGGTTTTTTTGGGGGAGGGAAGGTAAAACTGGTATACTTAGACAGTGAACCCGCAAAACTAAGTGAGAGAGCAAGGAATGAAGACTGGTATACTTAGAAAGTGAGCCTGCAAAACTAAGTGAGAGAGCAAGGAATGAAGACAGCAAAACCTAAACCTGAGGTGTGATAAGCTTGTTTTGAGCCGGTTTGAATGTGGGAATGCTTGGCTATTGTGGGCAAGGCTGTGCCACAGAGAAGTGGCTGTTGGGGACACTGGCTCTGGAGCCTGGTGAGCACTGCAACTGCTTGAAATGCAGGTTTCCTTTAGCAGGGTGAGATTCAGTCCTGGACCTCGGACCTTGCTGAAGCTGATCTTTCTTAAAAAATAAAAAAAATGATTGTAATGGATTGATGCTTTGGATAGAAAAATGAGTTTCTTTGAAAAAATCCTGCCTTGAGCCTTCAGGTGCTGTGCCTTGGGGCGCGGGAGCAGCGATGCTGGTGGGGTGGAGGTGAAGGCATCACTGGGAGTGTCGCAGCAGGAATGGTTTTGCCTTCAAATCCTGAGTTTATCAGCCAAGATATGCTTTGTCGCATCTCGCTGAGGCTGATGGTGTGGGAACATCCGTGGCTTTGTGGTGAGAATAAACCCCTGTCCTCAGCCCCTCCTGCAAGTGAGGGGAAGGCAGGAGGGAGACAAAATGAGCCGTAATCCCACTTTCTTTAGAATTCCTGATACTCCTTGCAATGGGAGCCGAGGTCCCAGGCAAGGATGTGGATCCAGGGTGGGGTATGGGCTGGACGTGTCTCCCTGGAGAGGCTGAAGCCCAGGGGTGTTTCTTCCCTGGGTCAGGATTGCAGCACAGACTTGAAACTTTGCCCAGTTTTGTGTTTTTTTAAGAAGATTCATTAACTTTGAGTGAACCCGAGCCAAGTTTTAAGTTACTAGCAGAAGATAAATGTGTGTTTTGTTGGTTTTGATCCCCTCCCCTCCGCCCTCGAGACCACATGGAGTTCTGCAGCTGAAGTAAAATGGGGCGAAAGTCTTGTTTCTTGGGTGAAATATTTTCTCCGAGTCCTCAGGCTCTTCTCAGGCTGCTTTCCCATGCCTTTACCTCCCTCCCTGATCCCAGCTAAGTGACATCCCAGTCACTGGAGCTCTCCTGCCTCCCTGGCAGAGGGGTTCCCTGGCCGTTGGATCCAGCATGTGTGGTACCCACTCCCCTGCATCCCTCCAGGTGCAGCTGGACATCCCCAGGACCTTCTTTCCAGCTTCTCAAATGTTTCTCCTTCTGCTTCCTACCATAAAGCCTGCAGGTCTGGAGCCTGGTGAGCTCTGCAACTGCTTGACATGCAGGTTTCCTTTAGCAGGGAAAGATTCAGTCCTGGACCTCAGACCTTGCTGAAGCTGATCTTTCTTAAAAAATAAAAAAAATGATTGTAATGGATTGATGCTTTGGATAGAAAAATGAGTTTCTTTGAAAAAATCCTGCCTTGAGCCTTCAGGTGCTGTGCCTTGGGGCGCGGGAGCAGCGATGCTGGTGGGGTGGAGGTGAAGGCATCACTGGGAGTGTCGCAGCAGGAATGGTTTTGCCTTCAAATCCTGAGTTTATCAGCCAAGATATGCTTTGTCGCATCTCGCTGAGGCTGATGGTGTGGGAACATCCGTGGCTTTGTGGTGAGAATAAACCCCTGTCCTCAGCCCCTCCTGCAAGTGAGGGGAAGGCAGGAGGGAGACAAAATGAGCCGTAATCCCACTTTCTTTAGAATTCCTGATACTCCTTGCAATGGGAGCCGAGGTCCCAGGCAAGGATGTGGATCCAGGGTGGGGTATGGGCTGGACGTGTCTCCCTGGAGAGGCTGAAGCCCAGGGGTGTTTCTTCCCTGGGTCAGGATTGCAGCACAGACTTGAAACTTTGCCCAGTTTTGTGTTTTTTTAAGAAGATTCATTAACTTTTTGAGTGAACCCGAGCCAAGTTTTAAGTTACTAGCAGAAGATAAATGTGTGTTTTGTTGGTTTTGATCCCCTCCCCTCCGCCCTCGAGACCACATGGAGTTCTGCAGCTGAAGTAAAATGGGGCGAAAGTCTTGTTTCTTGGGTGAAATATTTTCTCCAAGTCCTCAGGCTCTTCTCAGGCTGCTTTCCCATGCCTTTACCTCCCTCCCTGATCCCAGCTAAGTGACATCCCAGTGAGCCCCCATCCCTGGAGCTCTCCTGCCTCCCTGGCAGAGGGGTTCCCTGGCTGTTGGATCGAGCGTGTGTGGTACCCACTCCCCTGCATCCCTCCAGGTGCAGCCTGACATCCCTAGGACCTCCTTTCCAGCTTCTCAAATATTTCTCCTTCTGCTTCCTACCATAAAGCCTGATGGGTCCCACGTTCTTTCTGTAGACTAAACCAAAACCCTTCCTGCTATGGGGGAGGAGTTGGAGCCCCCCCCCAGCGCTGCCTTGGCGATGTGTGCCCCGTTCATCATCAGCCCAGCATCTCGCTACGGGGGACGGGAGGAGACAGGGGAAAGTGCTTCCTTCCATCTCCTTTAAGTGGCTGTAACACTCACTTTTACCTGTCTCCTCGTCCTCCAGCTGAGTTATGGAAAGCCGGGGAAGGTTTGCCTGGGGGATCTCGCTAATCCCATGCTTAGGGAGTACTCTGGCAAAGCTTTATTGGGCAGTGAGACATCTCCGAGCCCTGTCCCTCTGACAGGGATGTTATTTTGGATTTCTGGGGATGTTTATGACTTGGCTGGTCGCTCTGGCTCCGAGTGGGGCCTCTGGGGGTGCGTGTAAATCCTGTTTTAACTCCTCCTTCTAGTGATTTTTGCCTGTTGATGTGTGGCTTTCTGCTTTGGGATGGGTTTGCTTCCAATGCAGCAGGATAAGGACCACCAGTGTCTGTGACCCCCATGCCCTGGGGCCACCATCTGCCCCTGACAAAAGCTGTGGGCACTGCCTGATCGTGACCCCCTTCACACCTCCCTCCTTCAGCTCAAGGGCATCTTTGACAGCAAAATAATACTTGATTTTTATTTTTTTTTTCTGTTCCTCACTGTTTTTTCTTAATCTCTCCCCAGTGAGACATAACATTAATTACTGCAGTTAAAGGGAATTCAGTCTCCATTACTATCTGCCACTCCTTTCCTCTTGGCTTGAGTGTCTGAAATTTGTCTCCTAAATGAAAAGAAGGAAAGAAGGGGAAAAAACAAATATGCAAATGCTAGATTTTATTTATTTACCTTTTTTTTTTGTATGCAGTGTCAAGTAGAAAGGAATCAATATTTTTGTCATTACGCCTGTTGTGTTTTTTCCCCATAATCTTAGCTGTCATTTGGGTTTAATTGTGTTGTTTCCTCTTGTGTGGAAGTAAATCTTATCTGTTTTGGATTAAAATTCAATGAAGGTCACAGCAGCTCGAAAACTTACCAGGCTGCAGCAATTAATGTTCATTTGGCTTTGATAAATTGGAATGTTCCCCACAATAGGACTGGAGTGGATTTCAGAAGCAATAATTCTTCCATTAACTCAATGATTCCTCGCGTGATGGAGCGTCTTGTCACTGCTCTGTTTGTCATCTGTCACTTCAAGGATGTGGGCATATGCCTGATATGATTTATCATGATTAT